CTGATCTGTTTTTCCCAGGAAGTGAGGCTCTACCAAAAGTAGGTCGCAATGTTCCTCATACCCTACTGCCAATACAGAAGTGTGCATAGGTACAAGGTCCATGTTTCTCTGGTAGCAACTGCCCTCTCCTTATCCTTGCCCTGGGCTGGAATAAGGGAAGAGACTCAGCAACTGCAACATCCTGTGGTTGTCCTGTCTTTCCCCTCCAGAGCTGTGGCAACAGAAGCACAAGGGGAAAAGGGAAGAAGATGAGCAGGGCTAACTGTGCCCTTTTCCCTGAAGTGGATCCCTTCCAGGACCTTTGCTACTGGCCTTGAGTGTAGGGCCCAGCTCTGCAGAAGGAAAACTACATTCCTCAATTAAATGCTTCAGTATCTCAACTTAGTCCTTTATGTGCTTTCCTGGTCTTGGGGCCTGGCCCCCGGGCTTGGGACCATGATTCCTAGCACAGTGCCCTTCATTCTGTCTTTGGGCTTCCACAGGCCTAGGGGGACTTGAACTTAGTGCTGAGTTAATACTTCCCATTGTCAGCAGTTGTGTCAGAGTAGCCTGCTGGTGAGGGGGTTCTGCTGGATTTCTCTCCCACTGGGGGTTAGTGCCTGTTCTCCTGAATCTGGGATGGGTGGATATATGAACGTGAAGGCCTTGGGGACCTGTGGCCACGAGGTGGCAGCTATGCCACTCCCACAGTGATAAAGGGGTCTTCTCTTCTATAGACCTGAGCACGGAGGCTGACCGTGACCAAGGGAGCAGGTGTGGAGGCATGATGCTGAAGATGCTGCTCTGGGGCTCTGTCTTCCAGTCTTTTCAAACTTCTTCCTTCCCACAGATGGGGAGGAGTAGTTCCCTAGAAATGGGGTAGAGCATGGGCATTTGTGTCCATGAGGCTGTAACATGGAGTCTCTCCCATCTGGTGCCCTGGGCTCTGAGCTGAGGAACTGGAATTCTAGATTTGGGAATGATAAAATGGAGCCCTGGGAAAGGCCACCAATAAATCCAAAGGCCCTTGAGGCCTTGATACCCTGGAAGTCTGTTGGGGGTAACAAGCCCCGGTTGAGCCCTTGATACCCTGGAAGTCTGTTGGGGGCAACAAGCCCCAGCTGGGAAGTCTGTCTGATGACTTCCTGTTTTTGTTTAATTTTTTCATTAACACATAATGTAGTATTTGCTTCAGGGGTACAGGTCTGTGAATCATCAGTCTTACACAATTCACAGCACTCACCATAGCACATACCCTCCCCAATATCCATCACGCAGTCGTCCTATCCCTTCCCCCACACCCCTCAGTAGCCCTCAGTTTGTTTCATGAGATTAAGAGTCTCTTATGGTTTGTGACCCTCCCAATCCCATTTCCATCCCTACCCACCATGAGCCCCCGCCCTGCCTCTCAAATTCTTCGTATCAGAGAGATCATATGATAAATTGTCTTTCTCTGATTGACTTATTTTGCTCAGCATAATACCCTCTTGTTCCATCCACATCATTGCAAATGGCAAGAGCTCAGTTTTTTTGATGGCTGCATAGTATTCCTTGTATATATATGTACCACATCTTCTTTATCCATTCATCTGTTGATGGACATCTAGGTTCTTTCCACAGTTTGGATATTGTGGACATGCTGCTATAAACACTTGGGTGTGCATGCCCCTTCGGATCATTACATTTGTAACTTTAGGGTAAATATCCAGTAGTGTGATTGCTGGTTGTAGGGTAGCTCTATTTTCAACCTTTTTTGAAGAACCTCTATACTGTTTTCCAGAGTGGCTACACCAGCTTGCATTCCCACCAACACTGTAGGAGGGTTCCCCTTTCCCTGCATCCTTGCCAACATCTGTTGTTTCCTGACTTGTTAATTTTAGCCATTCTGACTGGCATGAGGTGGTATCTCACTGTGGTTTTGATTTGTATTTCCCTGATGCCCAGCGATGTGGAGCACTTTTTCATGTGTCTGTTGCCCATTTGGATGTCTTCTTTGCAGAAATGTCTGTTCATGTCTTCTGCCCGTTTCTTGATTGGATTCTTTGTTCTTGGGCGGTTGAGTTTGAGAATTTCTTTTTTTCTTTTTTTTTTAGTATTTTATTTATTTATTTGACAGACAGAGATCACAAGCAGACAGAGAGGCAGGCAGAGAGAGAGGAGGAAGGAGGCTCCCCGCTGAGCAGAGAGCCTGATGCAGGGCTCAATCCCAGGACCCCGGGATCATGACCTGACCTGAAGGCAGAGGCTTTAACCCACTGAGCCACCCAGGCGCCCTGAGTTTGAGAATTTCATTATAGATTTTGGATACTGGTTTTTTTATCTGATATGTCATTTGCAAATATCTTCTCCCATCCTGTCATTTGTCTTTTGGTTTTGTTGACTGCTTCCTTTGCTGTGCAAAAGCTTTTGATCTTGATGAAGTTCCAATAGTTCATTTTTGCCCTTGCTTCCCCTGCATTTGATGATGTTTCTAGGAAGAAGCTGCTGCGGGTGAGGCTGAAGAGGTTGCTGCTTGTGTTCTCCTCAAGGATTTTGATGGATTCCTGTCTCACATTGAGGTCTTTCATCCACTTTGAGTCTGTTTTTCTGCGTGGTATAAGGAAATGATCCAGTTTCATTCTTCTGCAGGTGGCTGTCCAATTTTCCCAACACAATTTGTTGAAGAGACTGTCTTTTTTCCATTGGACGTTCTTTCCTGCTTTGTTGAAGATTAGTTGACCATAAAGTTGAGGGTCCATTTCTGGGCTCTCTTTTCTCTTCCATTGATCTATGTGTCTGTTTGTGTGCCAGTATCATACTGTCTTGATGATAAGAGCTTTGTAATAGAGCTTGAAGTCTGAAATTGTGATGCCACCAACTTTGGCTTTCTTTTTCAACGTTCCTCTGGCTATCCAGGGCCTATTCTTGTTCCATATAAATTTTAGGATTATTTGTTCCATTTCTTTGAAAAAAATCGACGGTATTTTGATAGGGATTGTATTAAATGTATGGCTTGCTTTAGGTAGCATAGACATTTTCACAATATATGTTCTTCCAATCCATGATCATGGAACGTTTTTCTGTTTCTTTGTGTCTTCCTCAATTTCTTTCATGAGTACCTTATAGTTTTCTGAGTATGGATTCTTTGTCTCTTTGGTTCGGATTATTCCTAGGTATCTTATGATTTTCAGTGCATGTACCATTGGATCCTATTGGCTAGTATTTAGGTGAGAATTTTTGCATCTGTGGATATTGGTTTTCATCAAGGATATTGGTATGTAATTCTTCTTTTTGATGGGGTCTTTGTTTTGTTTTGGAATCAAAATAATGTCCTTGATCCATTAAGACCTCATAAAATGAATTTGGAACTTTTCCTTCCATTTCTGTTTTTTGGAACAGTTTCAAGAGAATAGGTATTAATTCTTCTTTTAATGTCTGGTAGAATTCTCCTGGGAAGCTGTCTGGCCCTGGGCTCTTGTTTCTTGGGAGATTTTTGATGACTGCTTCAATCTCCTTACTGGTTGGGGCTGTTCAGGTTTTCTATTTCTTCCTGGTTCAGTTGTGGTAGTTTATATGCCTCTAGGAATGGATCCATTTCTTCCAGATTGCCAAATTTGCTGGTGTGTAGTTGCTCATAATGTGTTCTTATAATCGTTTGTATTTGGTGTTGGTTGTGATCTCTTCTTTTTAATTCATGATTTTATTAATTTGGGTCCTTTCTCTTTTCTTTTTGATAAGTCTGGCCAGGGGTTTATCAATTTTATTAATTCTTTCAAAGAACAAGCTCCTAGTTTTGTTGATCTGTTCTACTGTTCTTTTGGTTTCTATTTCATTGATTTCTGCTCTGATCTTTATTTTTTTCTTTTAAAGATTTTATTTATTTGACAGACAGAGATCACAAGTAGGCAGAGAGGCATGCAGAGAGAGGGGGGAACCAGGCTCCCAGCTGAGCAGAGAGCCCAATGCAGGGCTCTATCCCAGGACCCTGAGATCATGACCTGAGCTGAAAGCAGGGGCTTAACCCACTGAGCCACCCAGGCACCCTCTGCTCTGATCTTTATTATTTCTCTTCTCCTGCTGGGTTTAGGCTTTCTTTCCTGTTCTTTCTCCAGCTCCTTTAGGTGTAGGATTAGGTGTGTACTTGAGACTTTCTTGTTTCTTGAGAAAGGCTTGTATTGCTATATACTTTCCTCTCAGGACAGCCTTTGCTGTGTCCCAAGGATTTTGAACAGTTGTATTTTCATTTTCATTTATTTCCATGAATTTTTAAAATTCTTTAATTTCCTGGTTGACCCATTCATTCTTTAGTAGGATGCTCTTTAGCCTCCATGTATTTGAGTCCTTTCCAACTTTTCTCTTGTGATTGAGTTTTCATTTCAGAGCATTGTGGTCTGAAAATATGCAGGAAATGATCCTGTCTTTTGGTACCAGTTGAGACCTGATTTGAGACCCAGGATGTGACCTATTCTGGAGAATGTTCTATGTGCCCTCAAGAAGAATGTGTATTCTGTTGCTTTGGGATGGAATGTTCTGAATATATCTGTGATGGTCCAGTGTGTCATTTAAAGTCTTTATTTCCTTGTTGATCTTTTGTTCAGATGATCTGTCCATTTCAGTGAGTGGGGTGTTAAAGTCCCCTACTATTATTGTATTATTGTTGATGTGTTTCTTTGATTTTATTAATTGGTTTATATAGTTGGCTTCTCCCATGTTAGATATTTAAAATTGTTAGATTTTCTTGTTGGACAGACCCCTTACATATGATATAGTGTCCTTCCTCATCTCTTATTATAGTCTTTGGCTTAAAATCTAATTTTTCTGATATAAGGATTGCCACCCCAGCTTTCTTTTGACGTCCAATAGCATGGTAATTGTGTTCTACCCCCTCACTTTAAATCTGGAGGTGTATTTGGGTCTAAAATGAGTTTCTTGTAGACAACATATTGATGGTTCTTATTTTTTTTATCCATTCTGATTCCCTGTGTCTTTTGATTGGGGCATTTAGCCCATTTACATTCAGGGTAATGTAATTTTTTTTTTTTATGCTACCATGCAACAAAACTTTTATTAACATTTTGAACAGCTATTGAGAAAACCAGTGACTTAGTTATTACTGAAACTGGTAATTTCTAAACTTAAATTGGGGCAAAATGGCTATAGTGCAGAGCAATGCCATCATTGGGCACTATGAATTCAAAACTGAAGAATTAACATCTACCCCTCAGATGGAGAACCAGGTGGAGAGTTGACTCTTTCTGGATGTTGTAATCAAAAAGAGTGCGGCCATCTTCTAGCTGCTTGCCGGCAACGATAAGATCCAAGATAAAGAGGGCATCCCTCTGCTGGTCAGAAGGGATGCCCTCTTTATCTTGGATCTTGGCCTTTACATTTTCGATGGTGTCACTAGGCTCCAACTCCAGGGTGACGGTCTTGCCGGTCAGGGTCTTCACGAAGATCTGCATGCCACCTCTCAGGTGCAGGACCAGGTGCAGAGTGGACTCTTTATGGATGTTATAATCAGAAAGAGTGCGGCCATCTTCCAGCTGCTTGCCAGCAAAGATAAGCCTCTGCTGGTCAGGGGGGATGCCTTCTTTGTCTTGGATCTTGGTCTTCACATTTTCGATGGTGTCACTGGGTTCCACCTCCAGGGTGATGGTCTTGCCAGTCAGGGTCTTCACGAAGATCTGCATGCCACCTCTCAGGCTCAGGACCAGGTGCAGAGTGGAATCTTTATGGATGTTGTAATCAGAAAGAGTGCGGCCATCTTCTAGCTGCTTGCTAGCAAAGATAAGCCTCTGCTGGATTGAAGGATATGAATTAAGAGCCATTGGATTGCCTGCAAGGTGACTGCTACTGTATATTGTCTCTGTTCCTTTCTGGTCTGTTACTTTTAGGCTCTCTCTTTGCTTAGAAGACCCCTTTCAATATTTCCTGGAGGGCTGGTTTGGTGTTTGCAAATTCTTTTAGATTTTTTTTTGCCCTGGAAGGTTTTTTTTAATCTCTCCTATTTTCAGTGACAGACTACCAGGATATAGTATTCTTGCATGCATATTTTTCTCATTCAGTGCTCTGAATATATCATGCCAGTCTTTTCTGGCCTGCCAGGTCTCTGTGGATAGGTTTGCTGCCAATCTAATATTTCTACCGTTGTATGTTATAGACTTCTTGTCCCGAGCTGCTTTCAAGATTTTCTCTTTGTCACTAAGACTTGTAAGTTTTAGTATTAGATGATGGGGTGTGGACCTATTTTTTATTAATTTTGGTGGGGGGACTTCTCTGTGCCTCCTAGATTTTGATGTTTGTTCTCTTTGCGATATTAGGGAAATTCTCTACTATAATTTACTCCAATATACCTTCTGCCCCTATCTCTCTTTCTTCTTCTTCTGGAATCCCAATTATTCTAATATTGTTTTGTCTTATGGTATCAATTAGCTCTCAAATTCTCCCCTCATGGTCCAGTAGTTAGCTGTTTATCTCTCTTTTTCTCAGCTTCTTTATTCTCCATCATTTGGTCTTCTATATCACTAAATCTCTCTTCTGCTTCATTTATCCTAGCAGTAAGAACATCCATTTTTTAAAATTGCGCCTCATTAATAGCTCTTATGATTTCAACTTGGTTATATTTTAGTTCTTTTATTTCTTCAGAAAGGGATTTTATTTCTCCAGAAAGGGATTTTCTAGTATCTTCCATGCCTTTTTGAGCCCAGCTAGCACCTTGATAATCATCATTCTGAACTCTAGTTCTGACATTTTATGAATGTCTGTATTGATTAGGTCCCTAGCTGTCAGTACTACCTCTTATTCTCTCTCTCTCTTTTTTTAATCTTGAGTTTTTCCACCTTGTCATTTTATCCAGATAAGAAATGATGAATGAGAGAACAAAATACTAAAAGTGTAGCAACAATCACAGAAAAATAAACACTAACCAAATTGGAAGAGACCTGAAACTGGGGGAAGAAGAAAAGAGGAAAGAAAATATTTATTAGACTGGTGAATAGAACAGAGCCAGACACTTGATTTTGGGTATATTTGGTCTGTTAGAAGAAACTACCTCCCAAAATTTTAAAGAAAGAATGACTTTGGAACACACACACATACACAAATAAATTAAATTAAATTTAATTTAAAAAAAGAAAGAATAACTTATTTATATATAAAAATAAGGATAGGGATGCCTCGGTGGCTCAGTCAGTTAAGCCACTGCCTTTGGCTCAGGTCATGATCCCAGGGTCCTGGAATCAAGTCCCACATTGGGTTCCTTGCTTGGTGGGGAGACTTCTTCTCTCTCTGCTTCTGCTTGCCACTTTGCCCATTTGTGTGCTCTCTCTCTCTCCCTCTCCCTGACAAATAAGTCTTTTAAAAAAGGGTAAACACGATGAAGAGATGGAATATGGCTGTAAAGATGAAAATTTAAAAAGATTCTAAAAAAGGTATTGATAAGATAAGAAGCTGGTTGAAAAAAAGAAAATAAAAAGGAGGAGAGAATGTGATCAGGCTGGAGACTAGAACAAAGCCATGCACTAGATTTAGGGTATATTTTAATCTGTTAGAAGAACCTGTATTTCAAAATTTCAAAGAAAGAAAAACTATATGTATACAAAAATTAAGTTAAATACAATGAAGGGATGGAATATGACTATAACAATGAAAATTTTAAAAGATTTTTAAAAAAGATATTCATAAGATAAAATAGTTTAAAAAGGTTAAAATAGGAAAGAGGAAAAATTGAAATAATAGAATAAGAAAAAATAAACTTAAAAAATTTAACTTTGAATGACTAAGAATCATGGGGAAAAAGGCAGGGATTCTGTGTTACTTTCCCCTGGCTCTGGAGTTCTGCAGTTCTCATTGATCTGTGAACTCGGTCTTGGCTGGATATTCTTTTTTTTTTTTAATTTTTTATTTTTTATAAACCTATAATATATTTTTATCCCCAGGGGTACAGGTCTGTGAATCGCCAGGTTTACACACTTCACAGCACTCACCATAGCACATACCCTCCCCAATGTCCATAACCCCACCCCCCTCTCCCAACCTCCCCTCCCCCCAGCAATGCTAAGTTTGTTTTGTGAGATTAAGAGTCACTTATGGTTTGTCTCCCTCCCAATCCCATCTTGTTTCACTTATTCTTCTCCTACCCCCTTAACACCCCCATGTTGCATCTCCGCTTCCTCATATCAGGGAGATCATATGATAGCTGTCTTTCTCCAATTGACTTATTTTGCTAAGCATGATACCCTCTAGTTCCATCCACGTCATCGCAAATGGCAAGATTTCATTTCTTTTGATGGCTGCATAGTATTCCATTGTGTATATATACCACATCTTCTTTATCCATTCATCTGTTGATGGACATCT